GTACTCAGAGGGGAAGTGTTGGCACTGTGGGTCCAGAACCACTCCCCTGGCTAGATGAGGCAGTGCCACCCTGACTGCCCACAGTTCCTTCACACTGAATGTCTAGGGGAAGACTGCAACACAGAGGGGTGGAGGGCAGGTCGTGGAATACATGTCTGAATCACATCTTAAAGAACCACCATTACAATAAGAAACCCTTTCTTCTTCTTTGACTAGATGTAGCAGGTGACTCACCAGGAGTGCCTGTGTCTGGAGGAGGGGCTCAGAGACTAAGAATTCCAATGCTGGCATCTGCTGTTGGAGATGCTGTGGTCATGTAATGGTAAACATGGGTGGCCACATGCAAGTGTCCAATGTGGAACTGTCACTGAGGAACTCCATCAATGTTGCCTATGCTCTCGTGGAATGAGCCTATATCTACTGAGGAAATATAGCTCATGCTCTCTCATAGGTAATCTAGATACAAGACCCTTTGCATCTAGAGCTTACAGGCACTGAGGCTGCTTGTCCTTTTCTTGCAGTCCACACGGGCAAGGTGAAGCACAAACCAGTTCAGTTCTAGTCAGTGTAACATCTAGAGGTGGTGTTCCTCTGGAGAGGAATGCAGCTAAAGGGAAAAGTAGGGACAAATACACCACCTGGTTCAAATGGAACAGAGACGATGTTGGATAAGAAGTTCAGGTATGGCCAGAGTGTTACCTTGTCCCAGGAAAGCTATGTGTAAGGAGGCCCAGAGGTAATGGCTTCCAAGAATGCATTTTTTGCCAGAGGAGCAGCAATGGATAAGACACCTGGGGCTCAAATGGAGGTCCCATAAGAGCTGCTAAACCAATGTGCAGGTCCCATAAGGTGCAGGTAGAGAAATCTCATCTCCATAGTGATGGACAGTTGGATGAAACACAGATATTTCTGCCTCGGGTGCTCTCAGAGAGCTGAATGCCAAGTCTGATTTCTGACGGTGTAGCAGGCACTCCAAGATGTCCTGAAGGAAAGTGCCTGCTTGGCCACATTGCAACGTAGGCTGTCCAAGTGGAAGGGTTCTTACTGTTAAGCAGGACCTGTTGAACAGCCTCCGAGTTTGGAGCAGCATCAGCATGGGAGGCTGATCTGAGAGTAAGGAGGCCCAAGAACCAGCACTGTCTGGGCCACGCCACAGCAATCAGGATAAGCCTGGGTCAATTCACCTAGGGAACAACTGGGACAGGAGGAAAGTTGTCTGCCAGCTGCCATGTAAAGCCTCAGATCCCTCCCCCCCCCCCCCCCCCCCCCGAGAGCAGAATAGGCGACACGCCTTGTTTTCCCTCGTTGAGAGCAGACTGATCATGGGGATGCCTCATGCTGCAGACACCATCTCTGCTTCAAGAGACCATTCATGGCTTGGGGGAAAACACCCGGGGGGACGTTCTGAGAGATGGTTCTGCTCACCCGGCAAGTGGACAGCTATCAGGTTGATGTTTTCTTTGATGCAGTCCTGCCATAGGTTGACTGGCCCGAGGCAGAGCCAACTGGAGTGGGCTCCCCATTGTTTGAGTACAATGTACTCAGAGTACATTGTGCTGGTCACAAAATCACAGAATCCTAGAACTGGAAGGGACTGTGAGAGGGGATCCTGTCCAGTCTCCTGCCCTCACAGCAGGACCAAGCACTGATCATCCCTGATAGATGCCTGTCTAACCTGCTCTTAAATATCTCCAATGATGGAGATTCTACAATTTCCCTAGGCAATTTCAGTGTTTAACCACCTCTGACAGGAAGTTTTTCCTAATGTCCAACATAAAGCTCCCTTACTACAGTTTAAGCCCATTGCTTTTTGTCCTATCCTCAGAGGCCAAGCAGAACAATATTTCTCCCTCCTTCTTGTTAACACTCTTTTAGATACTTGAAAACCGCTATCATGTCCCCTCTCAGTTGTCTCTCTTTCTAACCTAAACAAGCCCAGTTCTTTCAGTCTTCCCCCATAAGTCAAGTTTTCTAGACATTTAATCATTCTTGTAGCTCTTCTCTGGACCTTCCACATTTCCACATCTTTCTTGACATGTTGTGCCCGGAACTGGACACAGTACTCCAATTGGGGCCGAATCAGCACAGAGTAGAGCGGAAGAATGACTTCTCATGTCTTGCTCACAACACTCCTGTTAATGCATCCCAGAATCGTGTTTGCTTTTTTTGCAATAGCACCACACTGGTGACTGATGTTTAACTTGTGGTCCACTAAACCCCTAGATCCCTTCCTGCAGGACTCCTTCCTAAACAGTCACTTCCCATTCTGTGTGTGAGAAACTGATTGTTCCTTCCTTTGCATTTGCCCTTGGTGAGTAAGTGAACCACTGAATGCCTAATGTGGGCTTAGAAAACATGACATGTTGTAGATAGCCTGAAGCCCCACTATCTTGAGGTGGAATGAGGCATCCTGTTCAATCACAGGCTACACGCTTCAAGTCCAAATATGTCCCATCCCAGCCTAAAAAGGATGGTCACTGATTTGATCAGGGAGCAAAGAGTGAAAGAAAGAGGAAGGAGCTCTCCTCTGAGCCCAAGGCAGCCACTGGTAAAGGTACAACATTTGTGCTCTGAAGGTGCTGGGCCAATGCTGACCATTGTGGCCCATCTGCTTTACCAGTGGCCTTCAGACCTCCTCCAGCAAACTTGACACAGATCTCAACTCTAAGCTCTGGGGGAGAGGGAGGAGGGGCAAGAAGGTGGCAACTCCAGAGGGGGCCAATAGGTGATCCCAGGACATCCATGTATCAGCTCAAGAATGGAATCGATGCCTCTGATGTAGTCAGCACTGCTGGTTAGGGATGTTAAATATCAGTTAATTGAATAGTTGATTAACTTCATGAATTCTTATTGGTTGGTCGACTATTCTATAGTCTGTGGGGGTGGGGCTGGCAGGTAGTGCGCTCTGGCCCCACTCCCGAGGAGCCCCCTGCCTCTCCGTGCTGCTGCCTCTGTATCATGCAGCATGGGGTGTCAGGTGGGAGCTGGTCCACTAGAGGAGCTAGCTTAAAAACCAGCCCCCCTCGCAGACTGGCTGATAGAGAGACGGCAGCATGGGGTAGAAGCAGGCTCTGTCTGGGGGTGGGGTGGGGGTGTCTGAGCTCCTGGACTTGGCTCAAGGCAGGACTGAATCAGGCTGCTGGCCAGCCTGCTAAAAACTGTCCTGGCAAGGGAGGGGAGGAAATGCGTGTAGTCTACAGCATTAACCAATAAGCTTTTGCTTATCGCTTAATCGACTATACTATTAAATCCCTACTGCTGGTGCCACAGGAAACGTCAATCCTGGTGCAAAGAGCCTGAAGTGCCTGGATGTGGAGGACGTTCTGGTCCTGAAGAGCCTCGTCCCAGCTCCGGGGCCATGTCCAGAACTGCCACCAGGAAGGCTGCTTCCTTGTGTGGGGCTGAAGGGCCTGAGGAGGGTGGGATGCTCCAACTGGGGCTCCACAGCAGGCACAAGCCTCGAAAATCTGGAACCAGCAGCGAAGATGGGACCCAAAGGCAGTATACATCTGCTACAGCCTGGTTTGCTGATATCAGACTGTCTGTGCTGGCGTCCCTCCAGGCTGGACTCACAGGATGCCCGGAGGCCAGAACTGGAGTCACTGGTGCAAGGTTTCTGCATTCTCTTCCCAGCACCGAGGGAGGGTTTGATATACTCATGTCATCCTGCACACCAGGGCCAGTCCCAGGCCAGTCTGAGCTCCTTAAAGTGGGCTTTGCCAAGGCAGAGTGAGCACTGTTCATAGGGTCACTGCTGGGAATCACCACTCCAAACCAAGGGCACTGCTGGAACCCCACTGACACTAGACCTTTTTTTTTTTTTTTTTAAAAGCTCACACGATAAGTATAACTCGTATCAGTGCACAGTAAGCTAAGCTAAGCGGATGAATGCAGGGCTGTGAATACTGCTCCCACAAAGCTCTGACTCCAGCCGTTGGTTGATGCCAACTCATATTGTCAGGGGAGAGACTACATACATGAATGGCAAGCGCTGCCCCTCTGGCTGGTACCGGTAGGTAAAAGTCTCCTGCTGCTGTGCGCAGAGTAAGCACATACCAGATTGGAATATGTATCTGCAGCAACTCAAAGAAGCAATGGGCCTAATGGGATTTTCAAACATTCTTATTAGACCCCTAATGAATGTAATGGACCTATCTGCATCTTGACATGCCCAAATCTCTTTGATAATCTGTCTCTAACTCAGAGGACAATCACTACTACAAAGTAGAGCCATGGTGCATGCTTACTCCCTGCGAGGTAAAGTTTGTTCTAGGGAACAAAATAAGGTTTGAAAAAAAAAATACCCTCTCACATCTTCACGTCCATTTCCAAATGGAAGCATTTGTTCAGTGGCTGAGACTCCTCTCCCTTCCACAAGCACTCTACAGCCCTTTGATAGCTTCTGTACTTTGTGTGTCAGAGCAACTCTGATGACTGCGGGTGTTAATGTGGGTGCCCCTACTGTTTGTGTTGTACAGATACTTCATAAAGAGTGGCTACACTGAACTGTAACAGGAATTGACATGTATTATTTAGCATGGCCTGAATGGACAAACCCCATCAGATGAATGTTTTAAAGTATGTCAGGGATTCCACAATTCCTTTTCAGAGAGAGAACATCTCCTCATTTCTGCATATGCAAACTTTCCTCTCACTGAGAGTAAAACAACAGCCTCAATAGCCATCTCTCTGTGGCCCGCTAGGAGCCATTTGAAGTGTGTGTCACATGGAGGCGACAGGACCAGCATCCCTTTACAAATGCAAGTTGAACATTCAGACAGAAGCAGTGGAGCCCTTTTTAATCACATCTCTGCTATTTACTGCTGACTCTGCCTTACAAAGCTTAACTTTAAAAGACAAACAGGCTCACGACTAAGCTGGGACCAATTCTTCCCTCTCTTAGCCTTGGGAAGAGCAGATGAATATGGCTTATTTACAACAGTCAGTGGACTATTTCAAAAAGAGAAGGATGGTTAAAAGTGGAAACAGAAAACACTTACTGGTAATATCGTGCGGTTCCAAGTAGAAGCAGTGATGGGATCGTGGATGTAGCTCCTTCGAGCAGATAATTCAGATGCACTTAAGCTACTTTGGGTCCTTCTGAATTCTAGTTCAGGGGCATTCCAAGAATTAATAGTGGCTCTGGACCGTCTTGAATTCTGCTCAAGTAAACTTATTCTTGCATTGGCCCCTTCCATTTCAGAGAGGTCTGTAGATGACTTGCTTGTGTTTGCACGAGTGGAAGCTGTATTTTTTTCCACTTTGACCTGAGAGTCCTCCAAAGATTGTAACCCCCGCCTTGTCCTCCAAGAACTTCTCAGAGTGATGTGTTTTGTCTCTGGGGAATCTGCTTCTAAAGGCCCGTGGCTTTTCCAGCTGATTGTCTCTAAGGATGGCTCACAATTGTTCTTCTCAGTGGGTTCAGAAGGTTTTATTGTAATACTGCTTCTTGAGATTAATGTTTCTGTCCTGTTTCTCAGAGCTGAGTCCCCAGTTTTATCGGTCTCAGATAATTTCAGAGCAATATCACTCTTATTAATTGAGATCTCAAAGGGTGAGCTGATGCTATTTGTTACAGATGACAATTCATTTGGAGTGACTCGAATATTGCTGGTAGAAGTATGTTTTTCCTTTGCTGCTTCATTTGTATTGGCCCTTGTGCTGGCTGGCTCAGAGGGGAAGATTGTTATGCTGCTTGTCATTTTACTAGTCACAGTTTTAAACACAGATTTCTGTTTCTGAGTGTATTCTTCAGACCCAGCCCCTCCCATTACTTCTTTCATGTCCTTTTCAATTATTACAGGTTTAATGATGGCTTTTGATCTCAGAGCTTCTCTAGGACTGAACGACCTTTTGGGTTTCAATCCAACATTGTTTACATCTGATGAGGTCTTTATGGACTTGGGGGGGTCATCTTCATTTCCAGTATTTTTATCATTTTCTAAGAGAGCTGCTCTGAGAACGCCTCTGGAGCTGGGTTTCTTTCTCATCTCCAGCTCTGGCTCGGCAGCAGCATTGCTACATTTACCCATCTCCTCATCTGTGCTAAATTTGTCATGGCTAACTGGTTTGATGGCTTTGGATCTCAAAGAGTCAGATTTTATGCCAACATTTGTCTGACCTGTAACTGATGGTGCAGATTGATCCATTTCTTCCTTATCTTGATTTGTGAGAATTTGTAAGATGTCTTCTTGACTTCTTGACCTGTTTGAATACTTCAATAAAGTTGGAGGCTTTGTATTTTCGTGAAAACTATCTATACATTCTCTTTCTTGAGAGTTTATTGTTCTTTTAGATTTCTCTTCTGGGGACTGTCTGGGAGATAAAACAGAGACTGTTGCTGTTTCTACTTTACAGCTAGTGGATTCAGCTGCTAACATTGCAGATGGCATATGGTATCTACATGACAAAGCTGTTTCATTGGATAGTGCATGATTACTTTTCATAAAGGGTATCTCTACACATAGATCAGACACCTCTGCTTGGCTTGTTTTCATCTTTTCAGTCAAAGATGAAGTCACTTGCCCTTTGCTTGATTTTTCATCAAGTGCATCAGAGTTACCTTGACTAAGTGTTTGAGATGGCTTTTCAACCTTGGCCTTCAGTCCACTTTCATTTCCAGGTCTGGAAGATGCTTTCCAAGATTTATGTTCATGTGCAGCTGGTGGGTATCGACTAAGCACAGATGGCTGCTCTCTCAATTTCTTCACTTCATTTTGTGGTGCACCACTGTCTTTCTGTATAGATAAATATGTAGCAACTGCTGATTTGTCTTCCATTCTTTTTATATCAGTAACCACAGTATCTAGTAAAGCAGATGTACTAGATGCCTTTGCTGTTCTTCTAGTAATTAATATTGGACTTGGAACTTGCTTGTTGCTTGTGGCATAATGGTCATTATTAGAAGAGAACTCTCTGTTCCGTATTCGTTCCCGTTTATGCTGCGGTGAAAGCTCCCGGGTCTTGTGTTTTGAAATTGGTGGCTCTGCTGTGATACCCCTGTATTTATGTCTATCATGTCTAACTCTGCTGGGAAAGTTCATTTCTTCACTTTCCACCTCACCATTCTCCATATCCTTTTGTTTTTTTATTTGAATTTTAATTTCTTCCAACTGACCAACTAGAAGCTTGTTTTTATTTTGTTCACTCAAATAACTATCTTGTAAGTCATTATTTTTGGCTTTCATTTTTTTAAGTTCTTCTTCTAAAGATTCAAAATGCTTAATTTGAGTTTTAAGTTTTTCAATTTCTTGGTTAAGATCTTTCACTTTATTGTCTTCTTGATTTTTATTCTTTTGATTTTCTGATTTATTTCTGGTTTCATTTTCTACATGTTTTAGGTAATCCAACCTTCCCTTTCTTCCATCTTCTTTAGAAGGCAATGCAGAGGTCAAGTCATCTTCAATTCTCAGGTCATTTCTATCCACAAGATTATTTGAGGATCTTTCTAGCAGGTTTGATGCATTTCTAGTTTGATCTGCTCTGTTTAGTTTGTTGTTTAGTTCTAGTTTTTGTGTTAGCTCCTGGATTAATTTTTCATTCTGCTTTTCTCTTTCATTAAAGTGTTTTCTTTCACTAGCAAAGCTCAATGTTAAAGATTTCAGTTTTTCTAACTCACTTAGTAAACTATGTTCAGTTTTATCCAATCTGTCTTCAGATGCCTCAAGTTCTTTTACTTTCATCCTAAGTATTTCCAATTCTGTAGAAATTTTTTTGGTCAAATTTTTTTCTTCATTAAGGCTCAGACACAGCTGAGTACAATCATTCTTGCTTCTGCCAAAAGCTTCCTCCAGTTTTTCCAGTTCTGCCATTCGCTTCTGAAGCCGCTCAATTTCCGATTTAAGTTCTCGGGTAAGACTTTCCTCCTCCTCCAGTTTTTCCTTCATCAACTGACAGAGCTCTTCGGCTTTTTTTATTTCTTCATCCTTGCCTTCAATTTTCAGCACTCTCTTTCTTAGGGCTTCTACATCAGCCAGCATGCTAGAATTGCTGCCTTCTGCCTGGATAACTTTGTCCTGGAGGTCAAGAAGCTCATCCTCCGCTTTCTGGAGGTTTTTTGTTGCTTCTTCCAATTCATCAAGACGACGGCTAAGACTCTGTAATTTGAATCGAAGGTGGCGATTTGAAGTCTCCTTATAACCTGGAAATTCTGCCATTGTTATTGTTTTGTTCTTGTTAAGTTCAATTTTTTTCACTTTGGATCAAAGGAGTAGTTTTAAACATGTCAGTTCCTCGACTCCTACAGCTTCTTTGATAGAGACAATGTTAGCCTGAAAGAAGAAAACAGAGTGAGTAAAGGAGGATAGGAAACAATTTTTGTATAATCTCTTCTTTCATTAAACATGTTTCTGAAAGCTATAATTCAGAGCATAAGGAGTGACAGTGAAAAAGATCAGTGATCCATTCAGTCTAGTAATACGCATACTGTCTCAAATGTAGCCCACCACTTTGCCCAGGAGCCCAGGAATTCTGTTGGTCCCACTGCCTCCAAGTGTTTCAAAATGGATTCCTAGAGGACCTACTCCATGATTTTTTCCAGGGACTGAGGTGACGCTGACCAGTCTGTAGTTACTCAGTTCCCGCTTCTTCCCTTTTTTAAAGATGGGCACTATATTTGCCTTTCCATTCATCTGGGAACTCTTCCAATCTCGAGTTTTCAAAGATAATAGCTAATGGCTCTGCAGTCACATCAGCCAACTCCCTCAGCAGCAACAGATCTGGCCCCATGAACCTGTGTGTGTCCAGTTTTTCTAGATAATCCTTAACCTGTTATTTCACTACTGGGGGCTGCCCACCTCCTCCCTTGCTGCACTGGGCAGTGCAGCAGTCTGGGAGCTGACCGTGTCTGTGAAAAGCAAAGAAAAAAAAAAAAGCAGTACTGAACACTTCAGCTTTTCCTCATCACCTGTCGCTAAGTTGCCTTCTCTATTCTGTAAGGGTCCCACACGTTCTCTGACCACCTTCTTGTTGCTAACATAGGCTGGAGATTTTGCAAGTTAAAGTCAGCAGAGATTCAGGGGTGGGGAACCCACAGCCTGCAGACCAGATTCAGCCCATGGCTTCATAGAATCATAGAACACTAGAACTGGAAGGGACCTCGAGAGGGCATCGAGTCCAGTCCCCTGCCCTCACAGCAGCTCCCTACCTGACAGGTGTCTATCTAACCTGCTCTTAAATATCTCCAGAGATGGGGATTCCAACACCTCCCTGGGCAATTTATTCCAGTGTCTGACCACCCTGACAGTTAGGAAGTTTCTCCTAAAGTCCAGTTAAATCTCCCTTGCTGCAGTTTAAGCTCCTTGCTTCTTGTCCTATCTGCTGAGGTCAATGAGAACAATTTTTCTCCCTCTTCCTTGTGACACCCTTTTAGATACCTGGAAATCGCTCTCATGTCCCCTCTCAGTCTTCTCCTTTCCAAACTAAACAAGCCCAGTTCTTTCAGTCTTCCTTCATAGGTCATGTTCTCTAGAACTTTAATCATTCTTGCTGCTCTTCTCTGGACCTTTTCCAATTTCTCCACATCCTTCTTGAAATGTGGTGCCCAGAACTGGACACAGTACTCCAACTGAGGCCTAATCAGCGCAGAGTAGAGCGGAAGAATGACTTATCATGTCTTGTTCATAACACTCCTGTTAATGCAGCCCAGAATCACATTTGCAATGGGCTCCTCACTGTGGAGGGGAAAGAAAGGACCAAGCCTCATGGGCCGGGTTTAGCCCGCTGGCTATGCCTAGTGGGAGGCGGGTTAACAGCTCAGTGAACTCCCTCCGGCTGGGGAAATGGTAGTACAGAGAAGCACCTGCCTGGAGGCTTTTCCCCCACCGCTCCGACTGATCATAATCTCAGCCCACAGGAGCAGCAGGGAGTGGTGCCAGGAGGCATAGAATCACTTGTGTCCCCATGAAACTGTGCAGGTGAGTGCGTTCCATTGCCCAGATCTCTCACACACACAGACACCACCCCTGTTCCTGCACCCCTTCCACTCAGACCCTCACCCAGACCCCATCTCCTACCCAGTCCTCCTACACCCTACCCTCTGCTCAGACCCTCCCCCCAACATCCAGCCCAGTCCTGTGATGATTGTTTTTTATTGCATCTCACTTGTGTGGCCCCCAACTGATTTTCCTGGGGGTCAGTTGTCCCCAACCCAAAAAAGGTTCCCCACCCATGAAGTCTGGCCCTGGGAAATGGATCACATTTGCCTCTGCGGCCACATCTCCACTTGCAGGAAGATCATGCTGCGCTAATCTTCCGGCCTTCAATTTAGCATGTCGAGCAAATTGAATGCTGAGGGCGCCCCCAATTGGCACTGGTTCTCCTTGAGTAAGAGAAGATGACAGGACCTCTCAGTGGAGATGGCACCAGGTTCGACTTAAGAAATGTCAACTCCACCTACATTATTTACATAACTGGAGTTGTGAACCTAAAGCTGACCTTATGAGTGTAGTGTACACCTGGCCTGCAACACATCCTTTGGCTACACTTAAAGAGTTTGCAATAGCAAGACAGAGTAGAATCTGAATGCACCTCAAGCCATAGGTGGGGAGGGAGAGGATTGCTGAACTTCTGCTGGAACCTGAGGAGTGGTGTTTGTGAGAGCTGAATTCTTTCCTGAACCCACTGAGTATATGTGGGGGATCCCCTGCCTTGTGACACTCTGCAGCCGTTTTTTGGGAAGAGCTGCCCAGGTCAGAATTCCATGGATTTCTACAATCAGGGAACAGAAAAATAGAACATCCCCAGAAACATGCTAATGCAGCTGTGTAACTGATCTGTCTGCAGAGCTACCGCCCAGCACGAGCACCTGCTGCCATCTGCTGGGAACAGGAAACAAAGGCAAAGCGAGAGTCAGAATCCAGGATTCTGCAGCTGTGGGGAGAAAACCTCAACTCCTCTTCCTTGGGCACGTAGAGGAGAATAGGGAGAGTTGGGATTTAGAGCCTGTCATATCACATCACTCAATTCTGGAGCTTTGGTTGCTTGACAGGGCTCACTGAAGATGACTGAGATCAGACTCAAGAAACAGAGGCAGCTGGGGATTTTTGGGAGTGCAATGCCAGTGAATTCTGGAGTCAATGAGACTCCAGAAGTCTCAGAGAGGAGCCATGTTAGTCTGTATCCGCAAAAACAGCGAGCAGTCCTGTGGTTCTCTAGAGACTGGCAGATTTATTAGGGCACAAGCTTCCATCCAGTGCATCTGAGGACATGGATTTCACGCACAAAAGCTTATGCCCTAACAAATCTGAGGCTCTGCGGCGCCACAGGACTCCTCGCTGCTCCTCCAGATGGAATTTAGAGAGATGTCAGGTCACAGCTCCAAGCCCAGGAGAGGGGTTCTTCAAACGCTCTTTTCTATCTCTGGCGTCTCCTGTAACAGCAAGCCGCACCATCCCCAGCTGACGTCTGCAGTCCCATGGATCCCAAAGTTCTTTTTCATTTTAAAAGCAGTGTAATGCCCAGCCAAGCAGCGTACTTGGGAATGTTTAAGGGCTTCCTCTCCGGGGAGCCGACCAGTGACGGGAATACTTAGGCCAGCCCCATCCACCTCTGACTCATCTCCAGGTGAGGCAGGGGCTGCTGGTCAATGGCTGGAACACCTCCTCTTGCTGTGTGTTAGTTCCAGGCTCCTGAGGAATACGGCCCAGGAAGAGTACCTGTGGCCTACAAGCCTTACTGAGCCTGGCTGACCAGCAGCAGAAAGGGCTTGGACTATACATCCCAGTCAGTGTTCCCTGCAGAGGAAGCATTTAATGAGTTTCCTATTTCACAGAGCCAAGAAGGGAAGAGCAGGATGTGGGGAGGAGACTGCTGGGCCTGACACGAAGCACTTGATAGGAGGTGACTCACTTCCTGTTGGGCAGGGGGTGTCGAACACTTCACACACCAAGACACTGAAAGTGGCAGCAGCAAATAAATCATCATTACGGCCAATCCTCAAAGGACAGTTCCTCCTTGCGGGAAAAGGTAACAAAACCTGAGGTCAATTGTGTGACATGCAGAGGTCACGCTGGGCCAGACACCTTGGACTCCGTGCCAGCCCCTGTGTGTCCCCCAACACAGTTCACAGGCTTGCCTATCGTCTGGGCCCACCGCAGCAGCAGAGCAGGCAGAGTTTAGCACCAGGTGAGTCTCTTTAGAACTGGACCTGATGGGCTATGGGAGCAGCCAAGAGGTTCCTTGCCACCCACGAAGGCATCCAGGAGTTGAGGCAAAGAAGCGGCTGGCAGCGATGATTAATGGTTAACTCCACATCAAAGACTGTTCAGGACCTGAATTGCAGGAGCCTCGGCCAGCTCCAGTCCCTGGGGGGAGGGGGTACAGCAGCAGCTCTCAGACCATCTGCAGGATGCCGCTTGTAGGCAGTGACAGTTGCAGTTGGCATATTTCAACAGCACCTCTAACAGCTCAGCAGGGCCGGCCCACAACATTTTGGCACCTGAGGCCCCCAGACCCCCTCGCTTGGGCTAAAACTTTGAAAGGTCTCAATTCTGCCTTCTTCCTGTTCTACTCCTCTCATGTCACTCCACCATCTCTGTGCATCTAGGGCAGAGAGAATACAGATGCACCAGCAGCAGACACAATTTTCTACACTCTGGGTCCTAGTGGCGCCCTCCCCCCACAGTTTGGCACCTGAGGCAGCCGCCTTAGTTTGCCTCATGGTAAGGCTAGCCCTGAAGCTCAGACATGCAGACTGAAGCATCCAGTGTCTCCGTGGGACAGGGCTTCTGGAGTGAGTGCCCTTTGGGGAAATATGGGGGGAGGTCACTCCAGGAGCTTAAACACATTTTGTTTCCGATTAGCTTTCTACTGGTTCTGGTGCCGCTGCCACAGCTCTGCAGGCAGTTCTGCATCAGTCAGGGGCAGCTTCCCCGGCTTTACCTTTTGCAAAGCAGATGGGAAGGACTAGGTGCCTTTAAACCCAAACAAGATGGGGGTGAGGTACTATCACCTATGACTCATCCAGAACGACTTCTGGTATGGCTACTTCCTCACCCTTTGTAAGGCTGCAGCACAAAAGAACCAGAGCGGCTACTCATCAGGGTGTGGACAAAACAGACTTTTTAAAATAAATAAATGGATTTTTAGCCGGAGAAACCCTGTTGGGTCATCTAGGGTATGTCGCCTGAGTTATGCAGGAATTTAGATCAGGAGATTGTCTGATATTTGGATTTAGATGGTCCCTTCTGGCATTAAAACCTATTAAAAGAAATGTAGGGTGAATATCAGGGAAATTTTACTGATTTAGTCCTATGATGCTTTTCTTTCCTAT